TGTGTGTTGACCGACTTCACACAATTCGAACCTTGGGTGTTCTAGCTATGTACTCTAGGCTACATAGGTTGTGTGCCACTCAAATTAACGCCTTTGTCATGTACCGTTTTCTTGGGGAGTTTTTTTTATATAATATAAGTTAATAAACTTCGTGCATTGCTGGCTATAATTAGCTAAGAGTGTTTAAGCAAAAGATGGAGTCTCGAAAATATTTACCTCGTGTTTTCTTTTTTATCTTAAAACAATCATTATGCTTGTCTCAGGGGAATTCAAGGGAATAACAAAATAATTTTTAAAGCATAATTTTTTTTCTGGGCGTACATATTGAATGCATGAATAGCAATAATATAACACCCTATACTGTGCTGACAATGGAGTATAATTTACTTGTAATGTAACTTTATTTGTTGCAACATTCGCTGATTTCAAAAATATAACACCAGAAAGTTTTAACTAGCGCCTACAACCTTCTTTACACATGTTACAAACGTGGTTCAGAATTCCGCGACAACTTTTATTTTTTTATTCAAATCTTGGGTTTAGTTATTGCATATCACTTACCATTAGCGACAAAGACTGAGTCAATTCTAATATTATATTACCATTGAGATTCCTAGGTGTCCCTATAGTTGCAAGTATATTATGCTAGCAGTGTTAATATCCCAATCTTAACTTGTTTAATCTTGTTATACCAAAAGAACGAGGTCATCTAAAGAAGACACGGCCATTTTAGTGACCAATGTAGCTATAATAGCTTATCTAAGCTTTGTGGATCGTATTCCGTGATTGATGTAAAACCGATATGGGAAGATATTTCCTCTAATATGAGTGCATGTTTTTGGCTGTGATTTTTTAAATTGTTTGGCGAGGTATGATCCATGAAATGAGTCACAACTTAGAGCATTCAAGAGTTAGATGCCTTGAACTTGAACACTGAACAGAGGCGGATGATCTTTCTTCTGTAATTGCTGTTGTCAAGGCCTTAATTTGTTATGACGGTGAACCGATTCGGATACGCGAAATATTGCAGTATGCATATTACAAAAATCTTCTTAGGTCATGTCAACTTTTTACACGGATTGCTTTTTTTTCTAATAAGTATAATTTTGTTTTTTTGATTCGTGACACAGTCTTGTTTTCCGATTTTTAAAAATCTGCTTGGGAAAATCTACGGTACGTTCTTATCACAAGTCTGAGGAATGTAATCTTTAGTATAGCATAATAAACGAAACATGAAATTGTTGCGCGGTGCAAATGCAGCCATGTTAACACCACACAACTAATCAAAATATAAAGGCTGTTTCAATTGCGATACAGCCTTAAGGTATATTAATTTTTTTTAATTCCTCTTCCTAACTTGTGTATGTTTCAAGCTAATATGCAGTTAGCATAGTTGAATGAAAAAAACTGGATCCGCCCCTTGTTGAATTGAGTTGATCTTGATCGAATTATGCTGCGATTTACGTGCGATTTTCTTCTTTTGATAGATGTGAACGAGCATTAAGTTACGAATGCTCAGATGTTTAAGAGGTCGTATTTGAACATCGCTAACTAATTCACTCGTTCACATCTATCAAAAGAAGCACATAATATCGCAATAAAATTTCAAGTAAACGGGCCTTAAAATGATTTCTCCAGCACATACAATACATTTCGTGACATGCAGAATAAGCTGACGACAGATTATCTCAAAGGGGTAAATAAACTAAATCGGGCTTAAAATAGAATAAAATTTCTCCGCAAAATATCCTTTAAATAGTTTCAAGTGTATTTGTCTGCACAGGATATGAAAAGTATTTGTGCTGTGGTGCTTTTTACTTGAATTCGGAATTGTGCTCTTACACTCATATTCTCCCCAAACCGAAGTTAATTCTTCCGTTGATCAAAGTTAATTGAATTTTATACTGGCCCTCCTGACAGATCCAAATTACTATACCGACACTCTCAGAATCATATTGCAAAGAGTTGCACGCCATCCTTCAACAAAAGCGCTATAGCAATAAGCTCCTATAAATGATATATTCAATAATTCAGAAATGTCGCCAAATTTTTGCGTCATGTTCCACTTTGCGAATGATGGCACGAATCCATACTAGATCCTATTACTTTGCACGAGAACATAGCGATGAGGTAAAACATCATCTTCACTGCTTGAAATATGTCTCAATTGTCTAAACGTTTGTAATAATACTTATCAGTTTTTCAAACTTTTAAATTATTTCACCAAACAATTGGAATATTTGTCCATTTCGATAATGAATTGTTCTCGCCCACTTAACTATAGTAGTTTTGTATAAATATACAAGTACTAGCTATAACTTCGTTTCTCGTCTTTCAAGCCTCGAGCAAACTTGGCTAAGCACATAACATCCGGTTCTTCCAATATATCTGTCGTTAGTTTTGTAATTAGACTTGAGAACTTCTGTCATCTTTCCAATTTAGGATATTTTGTCTTTCATCAGCCTGTTTTCCACCACCGACTTGCACGGAAGAAAACCAAACTTTACAGGCACACCACACTGCCTGCATTTATGAGATAATCATAATAATCATTTATTCAAAGAGGTTAAAACTGAATCTATAAGTTTTTAGAGAAAAAAATTCAATCTTGTATTACAAAGAAGTTACTTTCATGTGACTTGCATCAATAAAATTTCTTGCATCAAATGTATCAGTTAATAATTCTTCTCTGTACATTATTCAACTGAATCTATAAAATTTCTCATCAACTCCCGATTTATTTCTTGAAGTATAGATAGCATTGATTCAATATCCTTTAACTTATTGCGATGACTGATGATTGTTACCTCTTGGTGCTTTTAAGCGCTTACAGCAAGAACGGATAAGTATGGATTACCATGGTTTTTAAGTGAAGTTTTGCATTTGTGAACATATTTTTAAGAATGATTTTTTTCGGATGAATTTTTCCACGCATCTTCTAAAGCAATGCCGGTAGTAATTACCATTCATTTATTCGTGAACAGACATAGAAAGAAACTCTTTACCACTAACGGGGAGATTCAAAAACCAACAGATTGCTTTCTTACTGCGGAATTACGTATCACTAACAGCACGATGTTATCAGCAAGTCCATAATCGGCAATACGTTTATAAATTTATATTTTCATTTTACACACAGTTTGCCCTATGCAGACGTTCAAAGACTATTAGTTTGTTGGAGTTCAATAAATCAACTAGCAAATCAACAACCTGTTAGCAAGTTGTGAATGCAAGTTGCAAATTTGCATGTGGTAGCTAATTGGATAACAACAGTTTATAGCAACTAACTCGCATTTCCGAAGAGATATGATCCCCGACCTTTTCATGCAGTCATTTGAGTGGAGAGCATGTGAATTATTGAATTAGTCAACAATTGGGCAAGGTTAATCGAGGTTAGTTTGCGAAGCACAGAATTGACCTTTTTCATCACGTTTGATAAAGGAATTTCTGTAGTTGAGAAATCTTTGCCATGACCCTCTTAAAAATAAATGTAATTATGCCAGGATATAAGACAAGATGTTGTGGATAACTCTGAATGAGTAACACTCGAATATTTATGCTCTGAAGAGGCTTTATTGTAAACAACGAACTCTTAGCTATTTTTCAGGGGATTAATGGGTTTGTTCTTGGCCTCATATCTTTAATGTGTTATGAGTTTGGACCCATGCCTTTTCACTGTTGTTAATTTACCCGTCATATTGATGAAGTAACTTGGCCAAACGAATATGGGGTTACACAGGATCCTGCCGACGGATAATTCATTGCGGGGAGCTGATGATTCCCTCGACAATTTATTGACTTCCGCTCCCTTCTAAAGTCATAACTTATTTAAACCTCAAGACATCCACGGAGACAACATTAAAACGAAAATTTTTGTTTGATCCTTAAAGATCAGTTTTTTTTAGCTCGAATAAAGTTAGTGGCACGCAAAATCTGGAAACGCTTTGCATTTTTAATGTGTGACACTCCCGAGACCCAAGGATTTATATAGCACGTTCCTGACTGATTAAGAATTTATAATTCACTCCACTTATTGAACGTGCCCATTTGCTTAACCGAGCATATTGATCTTGCGTGCAGTCCCAGATTTCATTTGTCCTGGATTTAGATAATGTCTTTCGTTGTACAAAGGGGATGCCTAGCTATGTGGTGTCAGACAGTGACGTCAAAGTTTGGTTACTTACTTAACAATCCTCCTTTTGCATGGAAAAGTTTTTAAAACATAAACTATTCTGTTTGTGAGGTCTGTACTGTGAAATATCAGACCGCCGAGGCCAGACCAAACAAACGAGGTCAATAATCGGTTTATTATATGGCTGAACTGCGTGAGACATCCGGGATACTGGTCCAGATAAGGAATATACGGACCTCGTCAACCAGTCAGAATAGAGGATTTTGAAAAGCCATATCATAAATAGCCATATTATAGCTACGGATATCCCAGATAACATAGAATCATAATCATATTTTATAAGAACTTATTTAAAACAAGGCTGTCTCATAGTTACTACTACTCCTGGAAGGGCAGATTAAAATATAGAGCATCAAAAAATCTAGGCTGCAATATTTAACCACCTGCACGGAGACTCCATTAATTTGTATTGGACTTTGTTGATCTGATTTACGACTGCCGTTCAAATGAGTGAGAGAAGCACATTGAACTTAATTATGCACCTGAGCGTCTCTTTGTCTGTGACCTTGAACATGCAATTTCAAATTCCAGTGTCAGTTGCATTAAGATCCTGCATACCATCGAAAACGTATTCTGATTACTACTGGGATGCACCAATAAATGTGACCTGATTTTAGCACACTGTTTAACGTAAATAATATTACAAGATCTTGGCGTAAATAATATTACAAGATCTTGGCGTAAATAATATTACAAGATCTTGGCGTAAATAATATTACAAGATCTTGGCGTAAATAATATTACAAGATCTTGGCGTAAATAATATTACAAGATCTTGGTCATTTTTAATGGAACTCGTATGTTTTAGGTTTGGTTTCAAAACCGACGAGCAAAATGGCGAAAACGTGAACGATTCCCCCAAATTCCTGTTCGACCCCCTTGTGTACCAGGTTCACCTCATGTGTACCGTGATGCTCCCTCATATGCTAACCCAAATCCTGGTCACTGGCCTTCAACAACGGCTATGACAAGACCACCGCAAAAGTCCCCGATGGCTCCATACAATCCGCAAATATCCCCAGTGCTTAATCCTAACCGAGGGGTTATCAGATCACCAACATCAAACTCTCCCCAGGCGTTTAATGCCACAAACATCCAGGGTAGTCCAGTTGCTCACGTGATCACAATGTCGACACCGTTGACGTCATACATGTCCGCCAGCCGGGGGGTGATATCAAGTCAGGCTGGTCATCATCCGGGTATGATGAATAATAATATGGCAGCATTGAGTCATAAGCCTCCACATTCACAACAGATCAATACTTCACAGCCGCTCTCTCATGCGCCAAGCGGAACAATCATTAATGGTGGCCATGGACAGATCATGCAGGGGCCAGTTCATAATCAGGGTATGGATGGCAACCCGGACATCGATAGGAAGAGTCCCGGATTGAAAACATTACGTATGAAAGCAAAGGAACATTCTGTTGCCATGGGAATGGTTAGAAATTATCAGCCATGCTGAATGATCGTTATGCTGAAAACTTTAGTTGAGCTGAATTACTTAAAGGGGTATTCATATGGAAAATCCAAGGGGGACTTTACGCTGCGATTTTGATGGAAAAGAAAATTTCTAAACTACTTTAATACTAAATTTCGGTCGAAATTTAATACCTAATCCCTAATATAATAGAGTAGAATTTGAACAAATGCCTAAGACTCGACGAGTCCCACCCAAATACACCAAAAGTCGATGTTAACCATTCGCATGAATTACAATTGCTTTAAAGACACTGTAAAACATTTTACATACTCATACGATTATTTGTCAATCAATGTTATATTTTGTTAGTATATGATTTATTAAATTTATGAATATATTGCTTTTAGTATTTAGTTAGTAAAAAAAATTGCCATTAAGGTGCATGGTCCACTACAGAAAATTTTCTTTAATTTTGAAAAATATAGAAATATGTTCATGCATTATTGGGTGCCAAGTTGCTCTGGGTGAAAAAAGACTTGTAGGAATCTTCTTTCACTATAGTTACCAAGACCAGACACACCCAATGGTGAGAAAAAGACGATTTTATTTATTTTTTTATTTTTTTATTTAATTTTTTTTTAACTTTTCCAATGAACATGCTGTACATTTACATAAATACAGATAAAAGACATGGATATAGAAATACACACATACGGATATACAGAAGTGGTTAGGTGCACGCTACAGCTTTCGCCAATTACAGCGGCCCTATACAATGATAAACACACAAACTAAAGACCAATTTAAACGGATGACAACACATCAAACAAAATTATGACATAACTACATCTTTGATTTGTTCGTTAGATAATCGATTCCTTTTGTTTGCTCGAGATAAAACCCTAATTAATAAAACTTTTTGTGTAATCTCGCGTTCTTTCTTTATTTTTTGTTTGGAGTAAACATTATACATTTAAGTTTGCATCCCTTGAAATTTTTAAAACGGAATAAATTATGATTAGTTTGTAGTGGACCATTGTTGAAACTTTACGTTTAAACATTATCGTTTTAAATTTAAAACGTCCTTAAATGAGATGGATTTCAAGTTTTACTGTCAGAAACTGTGAGAGTGAGAAACTGAGTGCAAAGATGCAAAAAATCCTTCTTCAACACGTGTATGAATTTTTTTTTTGACAAATAAGTGTGGAAATAAGCCATTACACTAGAACGAGGCTCCCGGTCATGGCCTGGTAGCCTCATTTTAATTTGTATGATATTCTCTGATTTTGAAATTCCCTCTCCGTTCTATATCCAACGCTTTTAAATCGAATCGTGGCTCCATTGAGTGCGGTGTTTCCCCAGACTACTAATTATAAAAACTTTTCAATTTTAAATATTTTTTTGTAATGTTGGAGAGACGTAATTCATATTATAAAGCATCGCTTTTTCCACATACATCTAATTTTCATGGTAAACCGCCGGAGCTGGGCCTTAAAGACCCGTTTACACTTGCAATTTTAGATGCGATTTTCCTCTTTTGATCGATGTGAACGAGTGACTATTTACGAATGCTCTGATGTGTGAGAGCTCTTACTTGAACATCCGTAACTAATTCACTCGTTCACATCTATCAAAAGAAAAAAATCGCACATATAATCGCAGTAAAAATCGCAAGTGGAAACGGGTTACGGGGGATTTGATTAAAGTACCGTGCGTGCCCACCAACGGCGTTTTTTAGCTGAGAACCAGCACGCGCTGGGGTTATGGCACGTGCCGTGCAGAAAAACTGCAATTTCGTGATGTCATAATTTAATCTGTTCTCTCCTGGAAAAACCTAATGTTAAACAAATCGATTGCATGGAACTCTTCTCAATAAATCTCTGAAAAAACTCATGAAAACATGAGAACTTGAGAGACTTGTATTTAGGAAAAATTTTAAGATGTTGGGGAGGCCAAGAAGTTCCCGAAAAAGTGTCGATTTTAATTTATCAGCCACAAACAACATGTACACACATCCTTCAAAAACCAGCGGTAGCTCTAAGGACACGTCGCAAACGAATTGCAAAATGGAAAAAGAAAACAGCTTACGATATAAAATTTCCATATCACATGTCTTATCTGGGGCGCAGAACGTTCGTTTCGAAGCAAAGTGTGTACAACAGTCAGAACTTATTCAACAATCTTGTAAAATCGACGAATTCTGTAAAGACATATTGAATAAGGGTAGAAAATCACCACAAGAGGATACAGTAAGTCTATTGTACTTAAATCTAGATAATAATGTATTTATCATTTTATACTTTGGAGCAAAATATTTGAACAGATGAACAAAGGGAGAGAGAACATCGCAAAAATAGGTGTTTATGAGGTATTAACCAAAAAACTAATCACTGGTTCACCCTGGTGTATTTCTGTATTGCTATCAAAAAGAAAACTATTGAATAACTGTTAAAAAAAAGTGATGAATACGCGTTCTGCAATCTTTTGACATCTCATCATATATATAAAGGTTTCCAAGAATTCGTCCGTAAGGCAGGTGTGGACACCAAACTATTCCCGGATTACGGAAAGGTGTTCGTTATCCCAGAGCGATTGCATTAAAAGGGCAAGAAAGCAGGGTGAGTTCTTCTTTATGATATCCCCCCCCTGAAATATATACTAGGCTCTTATAGATAGTGGGGGAAGTAAACCTTGCACGCTTGATATTAGAGAGAACTGAAATCTTTACATGGAGCTAATTAGTTAATATATTGCCTGTGCAATTGAAATTCGTTCTTGTGAATTTATTCATTCTGTCCTGTCTCTACATTGTGCCAGAGAGGAAAAATATCGCAACACTCATGCAACTGTGATGAAAATCCAACAGTTGACTAAACATAGAAATTCATTTACATAACATTTAAATTTTATCGGCACGCATGATACGATACGAAGAACATGCGAGCATAAAACGCTTCCTTTTATATAGGTGAGCTGAATGAAACAAATCCTAAACAATGGGTGATTTCAAAGCTTCGCAGTCTTTTCGATACACCCTGTAGTTGTCTTATATTTAATGTATTATGACTATTATCATATTTTTCAGTGGTTACATATATACTGTGCATACAGTGGCGTACGGAGACGATAATTGGGGGGTGAGGGCACATATTTATATATAATGTATTCATGTTAACAGACCTGTAAAGACAATGGATTTGAAAAGAAATTAATCTTGCACAACATGAATATATTATTCCTCCCCTCCATTTATCGTCTCCCGTACGCAACTGTGAGTTCGTGATCTGCGATTTCCAGCTGCATAAAGATAACATCCGAAGAAGGCCGTCAGATTTGAAAGTTGCCTCTATATTTGAGGTTGCAAAAATCAAAAGAAACGTTTTCGATCCAAAAAAGTTTCTTTTCTTAAATCTTGAATCTGACTGAGCCCCTGTTAAAACTCAATCACCTCACACTCTAGAATCTGCACCTAACCAGACAAGAATTTCAACTGCAAAACGACGTCCTCTATCAACATCAAACCAGCAAGTATGGTTCGTGAACAAAGATACAGCATCGGCCATTTTGTCTTCGAAAAGGATCGCGAAAAAGTTTAGTAGAATACCCAGAAACAAAACTCATGAACTGCAAAAGTCGAGTTCAAAACGAGAGTTCGTTCAAAAAGTTCCAAAATTTACAACAGTTCCAAATGAGTATCAAAATCTGTGTAGAAAAAAATCCGTTAGCGAAATTATGGACCTTGATTCTTATGGAAAAAGACCTGGAAAACTTCGTAACAGGTAAACATGCACATAAAAACCACTGCAAATGGTAGACAAATAGTATGTTGTATCCATGGCCATGCATTTAGCCACAGGATTTTTATGCTTGTGTCTTCTATGTAATTATTTTACATTTTTGTCTTCAATCTGAGCCCCATTATTCGATTTAAACCTATGGAGTGTCAATATATTACATTATAAAATAACATTTATATAACGCATATTCTGACTGCTCGTCAGGATCAGGCCATCCAAACACGGAAATTTAATTCCCTTTTTGAAATCAAGCTTGGAAAAATGCCTTGTTAAATTGTTGTTATTTTATAAAACAATTTCTTAATGATTTTCCTTGTTTAGATGGCCTGATCCAGATACTTGGGAATGTACGTCTCTTGAATTAAGAAAAGCTCGCCAAATCACTCGCCTTCGGCTCGTGTTTCGTGCGCTTTTGTTAATTCCCGCGTGTTTGGATCAGGCCATCCAAACACGAAAACCATTACTGAAGTAATTGCTAAACTTAAATAAGATACATTTATACGAAATGAATGATAACTGTCGGTGTATATAGTTACAGTGTAAGAAAAAAGACAGTGGAACCACCAAAGTAAGAATTTTCGTGTGGCTCATGGTGATATGGCTATATTATTACCCAAGGCATTCACCACGCATATTCGCAGCCGGTCAATTGTATTTTTCAACCAATCATAACATCGATCTGACGAACCGCAGCCAGTAGCTGATAAAATATACAGTGCCTCTACTGTTCACTCTATACCGCTATGGTATGGTAAAAAATCACCAAAACAGTGGCGCCAGAAGAATTACAGGGCAGCGCGGGGACAAAATTTAAGAAATTTAAAGGGCACATTAATTTTAGCAACCACTACTGAGAGGAAACTTGAAGTTACATTCGGATCTTCAGATCCTTCTTGAGAATTTTAATTAGAAGAGCGGGCATCTTAAGGCCCGTTTACCATTTTTTGCTGCCATTTTATGCCCGATTTTTTCCCTTTGATAGATGCGAATGAGTGAATAAGTTACGGATGTGCAATACATATGCTTATATACACATCCGAGAATTCGTAACTCATTACTCGTTCACATCTATCAAAAGAAGAAAATCGCAAATAAAAGCGCAGCAAAAACGTAAGTGTAAACGAGCCTTTAGGCCTATAGCTATTTGAAACGACCCACCTCTCCGCACGACTTCAAAAGACCAGGTGGATGATGATCTATTGTTGTAAATCTATTTATTTCATCACACGAGATCCATCTTTAGGGAATTGCAAAACCACAGTAAGAGAATATCCACGCCGACACACGCAAACGGTTCGAACCCAGGCGCAAAACCGTTGGTCCAATCGAGGTATAGGAAGGATGAAACAAGGAAAGAGAGTCAGAAGCCTGGTTCTTGTGGACTAACCAAATGTTCACAGTTTACCAGGTCAACCCCAACAAGCGAAAATCATCAGGTATAGGGTATCCCGAGTTGAGTGTCTTCCTTCCCACTAAAAGTTTAGTCAAGGTGGATTTAACATACGTATATATACAGTAGCGTAGCCAGCCTGACAATTTGTCCCGCTATGCTAATATTTAGTGTTCATT